TGTGCATTTATTTCTAATCTACATGAAGAAGAAAGATGTGGAAATCATGGGAGATTATCGCACATCTTAAAATGCCGGCTTACCTCTCCCGAATTCAAGTCTAATTAGGGCTGGAGCCGGGTCCTATCACACAACTTTCCCCCCAAAAAACACCATCTGAGTACAGCTAGGCTCCAATGTGGTTCCCTTAAGTCTTTCTGGCGGCCATTTTTCTAAAGTCGGAAGCTTCCGACTTTAGAAAAATGGCCACCGTTGGATGGTGGTTGTTTTGGGGAAAGCTGTGCAATAGGAACCAGCTTCATTCCAAATTAGATTTGAATTTGGGAGAGGTAAGCTGGGATTTTAAGATGTGTGATAATCTTCGTGGTTACAGATGTTGAGGCCTGAAGCAATTTTGTTTCATTTTTTAAGGTCAGAAGTAATATATAAAATTTGATAGTAGCTGAGAAATTATATTGTTATTATTATTATTATTATTATTATTATTATTTATTTATTTATACCCCACCCCTCTGTTAAAAACAATCGGGGTGGCTTACAATGGATTAAAAATTATACCAAGGATACAGAATAAAACCCCCCAAACCCCACCCTCCCCCTTTAAAAAAGTATTAAACAATACATCATAGAAACAACATAAAATCACAGAGAAAATTAAAATAGTTTAAAATAATTCCAAGCAAGCAAAAGCCGAGGGCAAGCCAAAAACTGAAAGAGGTAGGGCGGAGCAAATCCTGAGGCCAGGAATCTAATCAGGAAAGGCCTGCCGGAAGAGATCCATCTTCACAGCCTTTTAAAAGCTGTTAAGGCTCGTAATCTGACAGATCTCGTCTGGCACGCCATTCCATAACTTTGTGTTAGTATTTTCAGGTTTGGGGAGTGGGAAGTCAATGTAGTTTGTGTTAGTTTTTGTTTATTAGAGTTGTGTTTTGGAGGATTAAGTGTTATCGTTTGTGAAAGTGGAGGATATAGGCAGGATGGGTTAGGCCGGGGGTTATGTAGTTTAGTAGATTTTAGGGGAGGTTTTTAGTATAGTTTAGGATGGTCTTATTTGTGCTATGTGCTATATAAGTGTAATTTATTTGTGTGTGTGTGTGTTTTAGTATTGCATGTTTTATGATGTAATAGTAATGTTAAAAATTACTATTAGAAATGAAATAAATAAAAGTTTTATATTCTGAAGACTAAAACAAAAACATACAGGGAAACATAGGAGGAACAAACACAGCTTTAGGAAGTATATCACACAGTGCTGTACAGGTTGCTGCTGATGTTGGTAATATATGCGGAGTGACTATTGATCAGGCTCATTTGCTTTCACATCTCCACTGTAAGCATCTCAAACCTCACCTCCATACACTAGCTAACTCAAGGATGAGTCAAGACCATTGTAACCCACACAATCTGGCTCTAAACAGACAAGAAAAGATGTTTTCTCCCTTTTCTACAGAGCCTCCGAGCTTTAAATAGCTTTTCTCCAACAGTGGTAGTTCTGGTAATTAGACAAAAAGAGCCAATAATGCTGGAGCTTTTCAGATGGGATATGTTCAGCTCTCAAAAGAGAGCTGTGACATCTTGCACAGAGTTCAACCGAAAGGAAAAGAAGGGATGTCAAAACGATTGTGATTGAAGTATGCTGATGCAGACATTATTTATATTGCACATACATACACTTGTTGCTGTGTGTCTTCAAGTTGCTTCCGACTTATGGCGACTCTAAAACAAACCTGTCATGGGGTTTTCTTGGCAAGATTTGTTCAGAGGAGCTTTGCCATTGCCTTCCCCTGAGGCTGAGAGCATGTCACTTGCCCAATACACATACACACACCAGTGAATCAGAGAAACAGTGGTGCATGTAGCCTGAATTATTTTTAAAATAACTACCATAATTAATAATATTACAATAAAAAGCAAAACAAGGCCAATGAGTTATTCACCTACATTTGTCCTTTCACAGCTGGGCACATATTTTATACAATTCCACTGGAATTTAAGAAATGTTTCTGTTCCTGACGTTGGAAAAATTACTTTTCCTGGATGTCAACTCTCAGAATCTCTGGCCACCACATCCATTGTCTGGGGGATTTGGGGAGTTGCAGTCTTAAAAATTACCTTCTCTAGGCAGTGGCAGCTGGTGACATCAACATCAATGGAGCCAAGGATGCTCTCAGAGTTCTAGCTCCAGCTTTAAAGGAGTCATCCAAGGTCTGAGCCAACTTGGGAGAGTCAGCACCTTGGAGCCAGCATGGCATAGTGGTTTGAATGAAAGATTATGACTTTGGAGACCAAGGTTGAATTTCCACCTCAGCCATGAAACCCATTGGGTGACCTTGGGCAAGTCACAAGCTCTCAGTCTCAGGGCTGGCAATGGCAAACTCCCTCTGAACAAATTTTGCCAAGAAAACCCCATGATAGGGTTGCCTTAGGGTCACCATAAATCAGAAGTGACTTGAAGGCAAACATCATCATCAACAACAGCAAAAACTTTGGATAGAAAAGTTCAGACTACAGCTCAGAGCAGATTGTGGTTGTATTGGCATTAAATGCTTGAAAAGAAGATAATTTAAACATGGTGCAAACTGAATAAAATAATGATGTAGTGGTAAATGTTGAAATGCAGGCATACATCATGACAGCCCCATAGCCAAGGAAAGTCACCACAAGATGCTGTGTTGATCCATCTCAGAGGCCATTTGAAAGACAAAAGGGTCATCTGATCATTTCGAACCAAGCCACCTCAACCCCGTTTTGTGTTAATTTGTTATCTGTTCTTAACTGCCCTCAAGTTGATCTCAACTCATAGTGATCCTATGGATGAGACATCTCCAAGACTCTCTGTCCTCCACTGCTCTGCTTAATTCCAGCAACCCCTTAATACCCGTGATTCCTTAGTAGAGTCCATCCATCTAGCATGTGGCCTTCCTCTCCTCCTACTTCCCTCCACCTTCCCCAGCATTATTGTTTTTTCCAAAGAGTCCTCCCTTCTCATGATGTGTTTGAAGTGCAACATTCTCAGTTTGGTCATCTTGGCTTCCATGGAGGTTTCCAGCTTGGTCTGCTCTAGGATCCACATATTGGTCCTTTTGGCTTTCCATGGGATCCTCAGCACTCTTCTTTAGCACCACATCTCAAAGGTATTGATTTTCTTCCTATCATCTTTCTTAACTGTCCAGCTCTCACAT